TAACAATTGTAGCACCCATGATTTATACAAATCAAAAAATATTATTCAATTTTAAGATAACAATTATTTGAAGTCAAAGTAAATAAAAAAAAAATTTTTACTAATTTTCATTGCAGTTGTGGGTGTATATAAGACAATCATAAGCCAGAGAATAATTATGAGATGGTTCTAGGAGCCAGGTATACTTTGTCAGAATCGTAAGTCTTCCATCGTGAAAGAACAAGATAAGATGAAATTTGAGAAGCTTCTATCAAAAAGAGTGGAGCACCATTCAAAGGTTCAACATGGAAAGCACAGAGGCGAGCTTCAAAGCCAAGTGTATGCCACTCTTGAGCAACCGGAAAAATAGAATCTTCTGAAAATGGTACATAGATGGCTTTAATGCAAGCAAATACAGGATGAACTCCAGGTTTCGGATTTTGAAGGGTGACAAACAGCTCAGGTCGGAAATCAATGCCATTCAGCGTCACTTGTTTCACTTGGTACACTTTAGAAGCAGGATGGAAACCAAATGCGCAAAGCAGATCAGCATTATCACAATCAGAACCCAGTCAACATTTCCTACTACGCGGGACCTCCACTGGACGTCCAGGCACAGATATCGGATCATCCCTTTTTGAAGTACGGGAGAACTACCGTTTGCCCAAAAAGGTAGTCTGCTGGCTGTCCTCGGCATCATCCATCTGTGGTAGGGGCCTAGTACAACCCCGTACTACCTTTCCGTACCTCGGCTGGACCACCACTGGACTAGCGGTCGGCCCATGCAAATTCGACAATATTGTGACGCAAGGGTGAAGATCTTCACTTGTATAGGGTGCCAAAGGACCCTCAGAGGCAGATACCTCGATTCAAAAATTAGATGGAAGTAGTTACGGCTGACTGCGGCAGATTTCACTTCGACCCACTGAGACAAGTCTGCTGTACCTAATGAAACTGCGCCCCGTAGCATGCCGCGAGAGAAACCATTCAATTGTCGATTGCTCCGCTATTAGTTTTGATACCGCCGTAATTTTTACAGCACTACATCGCACTCATCTTAGCACTTCAGTTTCCATCTATTCAGAACTTTCAGTACACTACCTTTTGGCTAGAAGACCCTTTTTAATTCCAACAGGTGACTAAAGCGACACTGGCGCCATCTAGCGGACAATACTGAAAGTGCAATCCGCCATCTATCCTGACCGCCCGTCGTCCCTGGTACTGTCGTGGTACAACGGTAGTCCCGATTCGTACCTTGCAATGCACGCCTACTGCCACCTTTTAGAGGTAATAAGCAACCAGAAAACACTGTGCGTGTAATTTAAAACCGGTGTGTCACGCAAAGGGCATTCCATTTTCAAACTAAAAATTTTCTCTAAAACGTAAAAATTTCCTCAAAAAATAAAAAATTGTCAGGAAACTTAAAATTTTCTCAAGAAATTAAAAATTTCCTCAGGAAATCAAATGAAATTCATGGACGATTTTTTATGTATTTTACAATGGAATTCCCCAACGTCACGCCCAGCGGCAGTAATTTGTCCCATTTCTGGTTGCATAAAACCTGTACAAACGCGACAAGTACACGGACATATGCATGGTCCGGATTCGGACTACCTCTGTACTATGGAGGGACTAGTGAGTGCGACCAGCAGGACCAAGATGGCGGAGTAGCGTTTCCCGCACTTTTCAGGTACCAGACCGTAGTACACCACTACTCCAGCTGACATCAGATATGGACATACGAAACGGACTTCGCATGGAGGCCAGAGGGAGGTACAGTCAGGGACCTGGTACTAGCAATGTTGACTGGGAAACAAAGAGAAGCTGCCTTCCTCGCTTCCCCATAGCCAGACGGGGTTTTGATTTCTGCCTATCAGAACCCACCTTCATTTGGAGCATTTCCATAAGAGTTTTCAATGGGTTCTTAAAATTGTGGCAAACAGTGGCAACCAGTTTGAAAAAATAATGTTTTGCCTCGTATCTAATGCACCAATAAAGAATTAAAGGACCAAATAATCGTATATAGAACAAATAGTGCAACATGTGATGGTGCTTGTTGATGAAGCGGACAATTTTAGGCCTTTTCTTCTTCTTTTTCTTGTTTTGTCCATTTCCAGTTGTTTCATTAGTAGCTTCAGGACCACGTTCCACTGCAGCTTCAGCTCCACTTCCACTTCAATCAGCTCTGCATTCACAAGAGCAGCCCCTCATATTCTTCAAAACATTCTTCAGGACGAACAAATACTTCACTTTCTGTGTCGACATTTATTTCTTCAGGATCATCGCAGTCTTCATTGTCATCAACACCACTGGGTTCTGCTTCTTGTTCAACCTGCAGCTCAGGCTCAGGACGGCCAGGGAAAATTTCCAAAAACAAAGAATGATGTGCCGGAACAAGGTGCTCTAAGTTATTCAAGTCAAATTCACAATGAGCATGAGAGAATACAATCATCATGATCTGATTTAACAAACTAATTAATACCATAAACTTATCATCCTTGGGGACAAGGTCACCAAACAAAAATCCAAATGCTCGAGTTAAACACCACATTTGAGCACCTGTTTGGTGCAAGTTATACGACTCTATATCTGCAAGATACTTGGCAGTTATAGTTGCAGAGGGCTTATTCTTCTTATCAGGCAGTCCATAGTCAAAAAATTTAATGCGAGAGTTCATTTGCTGCTCAGTGAAGTATTTCTTTATGCACACATACTCACGAAGAGCAAGTTTGACTTCCATTTTGCAAACCCCCTGTTGAAGGTCATGAAAGATGTCAAACACACTATTCCGGATTGGTTGAAAGAAACGCAGTCCATCAATCAATGGTGGTCCTTTCACACCAGTGGCTTTTCTGATGACTGCATTCTGGGTTCCGAGCAAATCTAGAGCATGGCGTTCCATTGTACGGGGAGCTCCTAAAGTAGTGCCGTCTTTCCACATATCACTTCTGTTGATGTAACAGCATCGGCAGAATACATTGCTGGAAGAGTGGGAGAACCCTAACACCTCATGAGCAGCGAGAGAATCACCAATCTGGGCTATAAGCAAAGCTCTAAAAAAGAAAGGCTCACCATCAACAATCATTTCACAACCTTCATTTTCCAATTCCTTCATGTCTTTCAAAAAAGGAGCCCACACTTCAGGTCTTTTCACATCTCCAGCATAAGCAAGTGCTGTCACAAATATATTACTAAGCAGAGCATTAAGCTCTGCAGGGAGGTTTTGGATCCCAAAATATATACCGCCCACTTTATATACACCTATTCTTGCAGAGAGTGCTTGAACTATTTCAAGGTCATCAATGTACAGCACAACTCTCACACACATCTTCAGCTCATCTGGTAGAGTGGCATAAAGCTCACCATCACAAAAAGACCTCACATAGCCATCTTCACTTCTTACATTTCCATTGATGATTAAATTTCTAAGATAGGGATCACTCATAACAGATTTTAAAATATCTTTAATACTAAGGTACTGAAAGGAAGCTGCTACTTGAGTAGGCTCTAATACTAATCTAAGAGTATTGAGTCTTGAATCCATTGTATAGCCCAAAAAGATTTCCTCTGGCATCAAAAGTCCATACTTTTTCTGAAAACAGCTCATCTGCTGAGCCTTAGTGCGAATTTTAACAAAGGGATCAGAAAGGGAAAATTCACTCAACAGTTGGTGTAAGTTTCCAGCATCACAGTCAGTCCTTAATAAATACTCCAGGACTTTGTTTTTAAGATGTAAGGCAGTATCTTCCATTAATAAAAAGCATTCCTTCTGGACTGCTTCCACCGCTGTACTAGTCATATATGTTACACTTCTGAGACGCAGCACCGACTTCTCAGCACTCTGAAGGAGATCCACAGCAACTTCGTCGTGTTCTTCTGGTACTTCAAGCTGAAATGGCACAAGTTCATCTTGAGGCACAAAGGGTACTACTGCATCTGCTACTACTGCGTCTGCTGCAAGTGCTACTGCTTGAGGAGGTGTAGCGTGATGTTGGAAATAGTCTTCATGATCAGCTGTATTTACCGCCACCACAGCCACCACCTGTTGAGCTACAGTCATGTGATGCTTCCTTATGTGGTCATACAGTGATGGGCGCAGCAAATAATCATTGAGGCAGCCGTCTTGTCCACAGATGTAAGGTGGGATATGATCTTTCCGCTTCAAATACAGCTGAAATCCTTTGAGAGCTCCCTCCACCACACGTTTGCACTTGAAGCACACAAAGTTTCGTTCATTGCCTATAGAGAGAGCAGCATACAAGAAAGGAGCATGCATCACAAATCAGTCAAAGTGAGATACGTTTTCAAAAACAAACGCACATCAATACATAAATGAATAGATAAAGACAGCCCAGCTCCATCTCCTTTAAAAGGCCAACAACAGAAGAGTAATAACATTCTGTTTAGCGGTCAGAATGGAACTTCGCAGTTAACCCAAATTTGACATGATAATGATTTATATAAAAGAATTTTCTCCTTAAACTAATTGCAAAGAAAAAAGAGAGTAATTACCATGAAGTAATTCTGCCGCATCCTGTGGGATGCCCTCTGCCAGCAACTGTTCACGAAGGGTGTCAGCGTCCAGATTCTCCATACCTGCAAGAAAAAGAGAATTAGACTCCACGACAAGACAATATGGGAGGAAGCTAAGAATTTAAGAAACAGCAGGAAAAGCTTTGATGTTTTGACTTCAGAGCATTGAATAGCAGAATTTGGAAGCAAGAAATACACATGATGGGAGAGGAGGTTTTAAAACGATCAAGAGACGAAAAACTGAGTTCAAAGTGCTAAAATGTCACAACTTAACCTAAAAAAATGAGATATTTTCTGTTATGATGCGATACATACTTAATCGGCACTGATGTAGCCACTTTATTACCGATTCCTTGGAGAGAAATGTCCCTTGGTGTCCTTAGCCTATCGCAGTTTCACGGTGTCGCTAATCACAGCTCTCATAGCTTCAAGCACTGACAGCTAAAAAAACAAGAAAAGACCCGAAAAATGAAAAAGGGAACACTTTTTTCACTTTCAACCGCGTACAAGGAAGCAAAACTTACGATAAAGATAGGGTCAAAGTTGTTACTTGATTCTCAGACGCGCGAATGAATGGCGGCGAACAACGAAACTGGAAGTGAAAGTACGTGAGAGTGTGTGCGTGAGCAGCTCTCATTCTGATTAGCTGTTGGCTCAGAGGGAATGACCAAAAAGTCGACGAATGTAATTTTTTACCTGGAAATAACGGAGAAAGCTGCTCGAATGTTTGGTTCATTTTATTGGTATTGGTTGTATGCCATAAACCAGCAAAACTTTTTAAGTAATAAAACTGAAAGCATAAAAACCTCAGTTCAGAACTCTTGTATGAAAAATTGAGCTGAGACTCTCTGGCATTTTGGTAGATGTATTTCTCATACACATATGAATAAGACTATAATAAAAAATTGTTCATTGTTTGCAAAAGAAGATATTACGATGCCATGAAACTGAAATTGTGTGAAATGATCCATTTGTTTTTCTTTGAAGTGTCATGCGAAGTAAGAGTTGCGATGAGGTTATCACTTCCCTACTGGTGCTTTTGTGACAGCTTTCTGGACAGGTCACCCTTGTAAATGCTTTGCTTTGGTCCATAAAAACAAATGGGAAAGGTTATCAATCTTATGTCACTTTCCCCTGTTTATCTAACTATGGTTGCTATATTTCAAAACAGTGTTTGAGTTATGCTTCTGAAAGTGTCCACAAACATTTATTTTTTGCATTTTGTTTCAATTGAAGTCAATTGAAGTGAAGCTCACCCAGTTGATGTTTGCTGTGCTGTCCAGTGAAATGACAAAGTCAATCAAGGTTGATAACATTTTTTTCTAGTACTGGGCCTTCACGTAAGAAACTTAAGTTATTTTGCTATCTATTTACAACCAAACTGAAAATGAGGTTCCATTCAGTCCTTGATTTCTCTTTCATTTTTAATTTTTTCCGTTACTTTATTCGAACCTATTCTTTCTCTGGCTGCCTGGCTGCGAAGAGCGCTTCTTCGCAATAGGTCTTGTTTCAGCCAGTTCGCAGCTTACGAATGAAATTTTTCTCTGGCTGCGAAGAGCTTTTCTTCGTAAGAGCTTTATATAATTCTTTCTGCGAAGAAGCTCTTCGCATTACAAAGAATTTTCCTTCGCATTATGAAGTCATTCAGTCCTTCGCAACTCTACGAAGAAATTCCTTCGCAGACTTTTAAGAGTGTGGGCCACGAAGCCAGTTTAGACGGACATAATTCCATTTTTTCAACTCTCAAATCTTTAAGCTTTTTTTCGTGACGTCTCTTCCCAATATTTCGAGGAACCAGGATCTGACAGAATTTCAACATTGTAACACGTTTTAGCCAACATAGAGGTGGTCAAACACGCACCACACGATTTGCGCTACTTTGGTGCAGTAAAAATGCATGATTTCAAACGCACACAACACCTATAAATTTTTGTCCAGCATACTTTTTATTGATACCACGTAAAAGGACGTTTCTTAACGAAACTTTACATACATTTATATTTCATTTTGGACGATTTTTGAGGTGTCCAGCTTCATTTTTAATACGCTTTGACAAAATTGTCAAAATTAAATCTTTGCCGAGGCGGCACTTTTTTGTTTAAAGTGGTTAAACGGTCTCCTTCAGGACTTGCGGAAGCCAACATGTCAAGGAACAAGACTCAAAAGAATTTAGCTGCAGATACCTGCAGCTGTGAGTTGTAGGGTCTCCCAAACATCGCCGAAAAGGCGAAAAACGGTCCCGCGCAGCGCAACGCTGCCCCGCGCAACGGAGGCACTACTGCATAGTTGTTGCTTGAAATGATGAGAGTTGTGCATGTCAGAGTTTGTCTTCAACGCGAGTATGCTTGTTTTGGTTTTTGCGTCGTTTAATTCATGAAAACGTAGAAAAGGTGTCAGACCATGTCTTGGCGTAACAGGTCCCTTGCTATTAGATATTGTCAAATTTCACACTGGAGGGTCATATATTGTCTAAAATGGATTCCCCGCCCCTCAAAACCCCCGACTACCAAGTTACACGCCAAAATAACGATTCGTATGGCCTGGGAGAAGTATGTCCGCCTAAACCGGCTTCGTGGCCTACTGTGGGTCGTCCCCTGGGTATTTCTTTTGTCTTCTTATATACAGATATGATTTTCACTACCAATTAAACCCTCAAATCCAAAGTTTCGCGTGAATTCAGCAAAAAGATTCATTGTACCCCCCTTTACGCACCTGGCTCCGCCTCTTAGGGTGCCTTTTACGTTCAAATCTCGTCAGAAATGAATTCAGCGACCCCTAAATACACTATACACAAAATTTGGCGAAGAAATTGATTTCGTGCGACTTTTTCCGTTTTCGCCCCACTGTGTGACGCCTTTGCCGTTCACATTATAGCTTCGACAGGTCTTAACAGCTCTCGACAGTTGTCAGCTCCTGACAGGCTTTCATGGATCCGGATGGATCATGACTAGTGCACCGAGTCTCAACAGACCGTGTCAAATGTTCCAAAGCATCGGCGTCAGGTTCCGGTGGGTTTGACGCTGTCTTGTTTGGGAGGTGCCTACTTTAAAATTTACCTATATTTTCGCCGTTATTTTTATTCTTACTCCATCTCCTTCCCCCTCCCCCACCCTCCACACCTTAAAAAAGTTTCTTTGGTGTTAATTGACCATTGAGAGCTGCTACGATCATTAATATTTTGTCGGACATAGCCAATTATGGCGTAAAACCTACGCTTTTGAGCGATTTTGCCTGAAAAGCTACTGCAACGACGAGGTTTTTCGGTCAAAGATTCGAAAGTCGGAAACGGACGGCAAAAAACTCAACGCGATTGTTTATAGGAAACTTAGGGGGAGGTCTCTGACCCAGTGGGACGACCGTGTTTTATTATGTTCAAAAGTAGATTCCTGTTTTTTTATAAAATTAGGAAAACTTGTAAATTTTTCGAAAACATGACTTTTCCTTTGTATAGAAGGCTTCTAAAGCAATGCCCACTGTGGCATTTCATTGAGAACAAGCCACAGTAACTGAAGAAAAAGTTTAGGTACCTTAAATTAACTCTTGAGCTCTACTGGCCATGGTCAATTTTCTTCAAAATACATCCATGAAAAACACTGCAGTAAAAGTTGTGTGTTTGCTATTCTTTGTACGCGAACTTGATAAGACTGGCGGCTAAAACCTCGTGGATTATCGATGCGTAGGGTGTTTATTACAAGGAAAAGTATTGAAACATATCAAAATCCTTACCTTGTGAAATACTCTTCTGACCAGAAATTCGGGGTGATTCGACCACTGTGCGCTAGCCCTGTGGCCAGCACAAACCAAGTTTTTGAGTTGTAGGATTGAACCGCTTCGCCAAAAAGAGATAAAAACAACATTGTCTGGCGATATGGCGACCAAGGTCGTGTTTAAAGGTCAGAACGACATCCGATTCGAGCCGACAAACAAGGCAATCTGTACGAATCGGCTTTTTCCTGTTACGAAACGGGTGCAAGGTCCATAAACCCGGTCTATTTGGTCCTCATAAAGCATTGCCCTAGACTCCGACAAAGTAACGGCCCATAGTAGAGTGGCCTTCACGAAAAAATGTTTCAAAATCGAGGGGCGCTGCAAGGAATATTAAAGTTCGGCCCGTAAAAAACTATGGGTACGCGCCGTTTGGGAGCGTTCACAAATTACGTAAGGGCCTTGAGGGGGTGGGGGGGGTCGGTTATCGTTACTAGGGTCTTATGTGGGGGGTTGGGGGGTCTAGAGCAAGCCTTATGTTAGGTTTCTGAAACGCGCTAAATTGGGTTAAAAGCGGTTAAAAGTGGGAATTTCTTTTGATATGCCCTATGTTTGCGATGATTTTATTGTGGCCAAATGCCCTTTTTTATTATAAGTTATCAACCCATGCTTTTTGCAATAAAAGCAGTTCCTCTTAAATCAGAAATCTGATTGATTTCTGCCTTCAAAAACCGCTGTCTTACCTGTCTTATCTCGTCTTATGCACAAAACCCGTAAAAAAACGTTTTAGGGTTTTTGGGAATCATTGGCGAAAACCTTACGTAAATGGGGGGTGGGGGGGTCTCGTCCCAGGTAGATGGGACCCAAATGGGGGGACCCACTATTTGGGTCCTTTTCAGGAACCCAAATTTGGGTCTGGACCCAAAAATTTGGGGTTCGTACCCAAATGAGGGTAGGGTAAGTGCCCAGTGATGGCCATGGTACCAGTGATGGCCACTTTAGACTTTGCCCGACTTTTCATCCACGCGGGAGAAGGTAAACAGTTGAGCTTTTGGGGTTTGTACCCTCACCTATTAGCAACAAAACACCGCAAAAAATTTCATCCCGTTACTGTCGTGGGCGGCCGCTCGGGCTCAGCGCAAAGGCTGCTGCGTTGACATGTTTGTTAAATTTGTAGACTGAGATCAAATCAGTTATCCCAGCGTTCTTTCGCAGATTTGAATTTTTACTTAATTTCTACCTGATTACTGTAAAAAACGGAAGCACAGAGCTACTCCCCCTCTCAAAACCTAAACTTGCTATCACCGAGTAGGGCACAGGTTATCACTAAGCAAGGGTGGCCATCACTGGCAAATTGCACTGATATTTTGGTTACTCTTTTCGCGAAGACAGAGGTAAATTTTGCTCCTCTTCAAACTGGAGAACCTCACTCTATCCTTCTTTTATGCTCCTGAAAATAGCCCAAACCGTACGAATTGTCAGCTGTGAACTGCCTGGTAGTTTTAGAGGGTGATTCACTTAGAGCTGATGTTTGAGTGTTCCATCCATAAAACAATAAACAAAAATTGATTAGACCAATGCGAATAAAACTTTTCTTTTGAGAACCTTAAGGGGGCACACCAGTGAAAATGCAGAGGCTTCGTAAAAACGTTATTCTGAGTAAAGTAACGAAGCACAGTGCGGCCAAACGGCGAAAAGTGCGACATGGCCCTTTCTGCCGTTTTTTCGATTTATAAGGGCAAAGGATTATGGTTTATGGTGGAAAAAGTGGTTTCCAATCAAAACCTGGTCATGTAGGGGTCAAAAACTATAAAAAACGCAAAAAATGCCCCAAAACGCCCCAAATTCCACCATTTTTTACTCGTTTTTTGGCTCTTACAACTTCAATTTTGAGAATCCGAAACTTTTCTTGGCAGATTCTGAAAGCTAAGAATGAGAGCTACAAGTTCGTGTCAGGGGTCGACACTGTAGCGAGATCGGCTATTCGAGATATTTGGCGTCAAAGATTTTTACATTTCATCATTTCCACTAAAAATGTCATTTTTTACTCGTTTTTTGGCTTTTTCAAGAGCAATTTTGAGAATCCGAAACTTTTTTTGACATATTCTAAAAGCTGAGAATGGGAGCTACAAATTTGCTTAAGGGGCCCACACTGTAGCAAGATC